GGAGCATGAAGTAATGTAGAAAAATGGTTTAACAACAACACTGAAGTTTTTGTCAAATACCACATCAACCATGAATGTTACACATTTGTAATACATCTGTCAGACTAATAGTCTGTTAGACTTTTCAACTGTTGGATTAATGGGGAGTCTGACCAATAGAGTGCCAGACTAATGGGGTGTTGGACCAATGGAGTAGTTGGTCTAATGGGGGTGCTGGAACATCCAAGCAAGTGCACCCCAACATATGCCATTTTTACATTCACTGATTGATTACACAAAACAGGTACTTTCTTCTCACTTCCTGTCTGCCTACCCAAATATTTACAATACTATAAGCCTTGTTGTAAGCCACAAATGTTCCAGCGCTTTAGTGTAGTGGTTCAATTTAAGATACCAAAGTGACAAACTGACAATGCCATGGCAAAAAACCTTAATGTTTGGAGTTGGATTGATTAAGGCTGGAGTTGTAACACCTATTTTGTCTTCCAACCATAAAGTAAAAGGAGGACCAATCTATCCCAAAAATAAATTGAAACAAGTGAATCTGTGAGCTACTGCTCACTAATGATACCCCCGGCCCCGCTAAAAGTATAAGGTAAACAAGAAGTTGTTGAGTGATGAATCTGAAAACGATCACACAGTATAGCTGACTCATATAAACCCTGAAACCAAATTTCAGAAATCCTTGTAATGAAGTTCCTGAGAAAGATGCAATGAAAAATATTCATGGGACGGATGGATGGACTGACGGATGGAAGGATGGATGGACGGACGGATGGATGGAAGGAGGGATGGACAGACAGAGGTTAAACAGTATACCCCCACTTTTTTAAAGCGGGGGTATAATTAAAAGCGGGAGTATAAAAAAACAGTATACCCCCACTTTTTTAAAGCGGGGGTATAATAATCATAATTAAGAAATAAAAACAGAGTGTGTTCTTGGTACACCAATGCCCCGCCTATATAATGAAGCAGGAGTAGCACTGTTTATTTCTAAGGAAAGGGTTTGGATGTATGTAAAGACAAATTTCTATAGATTCAGGTTGTAAGCAGTTAATGAAACAAACCATATTCTGTATATATGCTCCTGTCCCAAGTCAGGTGCCTTTAATTCAGTGGTTTTTGTTTGTTGCTGGTGGAGAGCTGTCTCATTGGTAATCATACCACATCTTTTTATTTCATATACACATCAGCCATCCTCTTTAATCTGTTATGGATGATATAGAAACCACCAGTTGAGGAATAATTCCAGAATGACAAATGTGAAATCAGTCAAATTAGAACTTAACCTGTGTTCAGTAAGCCAACAAAATATTCCCAACTTTCAAATAATCAAAAGTTATCATCAAGAAACCAAAAGTTTGGCTTTTCATTTATTAATGATCATTATACATTCTTGAACAACAAAAGTGAAAGCAGTCATATATTCAATCTAAATCTATTTTTATTGGCCTCTAACAACATTTCAAACTTTCAAATGATTTGGTGGAGGTCTAATCAATTGTCAGGAAAATGAACATTTTGCTATTTTCAGCTTTATCAATGGGCATAACTCTAGAAAGGCAAAGTGGATTTGGTCAAATGGGAACTAGATCTGTCTTAAAGGGTCCCTAACAATATTTCCAAATTTCAAATTATTTCATGAAGGTTCCTTTCGAATTATCACCCTGAAACCATATTTAGCTATTATCCACAGTATCAAGGGCCATAGTAACTCTGCCTGGCAAAATAAAAGTGAAAATTTAAGAATTCGAACAGAATCAGTATTCAGCTAGAAGTTGTTCTGAACAATATTTCCAAATTCAAAATGATATTATGGAAGCTTACTGAAGTAACAATACATAGCCCTGAAAGACAAACATGAAATTTGTAATGGTCCCTGAAAACCTTACCAAATTTCTAATAATTTGGTGGAGGATTACTCAATCATACCATAAAAAGCAAAATAGAATTTGTAATGGTCCCTAAAACCATATAAAAATGTCTAATGATTTAGTGGAGGCTTAATCAAGTGAGCATTGGGAAAACCAATTTTTTTAATAAATGTACCTATTATATGTGCAGGCTTAACACTAAATGTATATGTTGTCTTACAGCTGGGGCATTAATTATTATGTTGAAAGACTGGTACTTCCAAGGGCTGCAAATCTTTTCTCTATTTGTACACTTAAATACTATAAATGAGGAAATTTCAATAGTGACAGAACAATGAATGACTGACATCATCAAATAGTCAATACAATGCTTTTTGTCCATTATGTTGACAGTGATAACAGATGATATCATTATATAATACAAACTGTAGAAGATTATAATTAAACTTTTGTCTTGTTGTAAACTTAATATATACCTAAGTTTAAAAATTTATTCTGTTTTAACAGCGGTGATAAATAGTGATAATTGTGGTCACAAAAGAACAAACAGTTTACTATTACACATTAATTTACGATAAATATCTCCATACTAGAAACATTTATTTGGAATCTGACAATCCTTTTATTAGAACAGCTCTTGGAGACTATTTGATTATTGTATTTCTGTTAATCTTGCATTGATTATAATTTTTACTGTTTAAATTTTATAAAGACTAAAATTTACACTATAAATATCACTGTCTTAGGTTAGGAGAGGGTTGAGTGCTCACATACATGTTTAACCCTGCCACCTTCTTTATGTTCCTGTCCAAAACCAGGAGTCTGTTATTCAGTGCTAGTTATTTGTTCATGTCTGTCATATTTGTTTTTCGTAAATTGTATTTTATAAATTAAGCCTTATGTTTTCTTGTCTGTTTTGTTACTTGATGTTCTTCTTTGTCCATCAGCGTCCGTTAACTTTTACAAAAATCTTCTCCTCTGAAACTACTGGGCCAATTGGAACCAAACTTGGCCACAATCATCATTAGAATATCTAGTTTAAAAATGTGTCTGATGATCTTGCCTCTCAACCATTTTGAAAACCCCAATAGAGAAAATCTGACAGGTGCAGAAATCTACCTACTGTCCAATCACACCAAAACTGCCAGATGACTTCTATCAACTCTTTATAGGAGTTAGTGCCCTTAAATGACAATTTTTATAATTTTTTTGCATTTTGTCTTTTATCTTGAAAACTTAACAGATAGATGGAAACTTTAAAAGCAAAAATGATCAGCAAGACTAGATCTGTAGAAAGGTTCAGCATAGATGAAATTGTCCATTGTCTTCTTATAGGAGTTTTAACCCGTAAATGGCAATTTAAACCCATATTTGTGTTTTGGCCAAAATCTAAAAAAGATAGAAAGAGACTGTAACAAAAACTCAGTTTTTACCATAATTTTGACTCTAGAAATCAATTTGGAATATCTGCTAAACTTATTTATCAATGTTTCCATGGTACCCACACACAGGCAATTGTCTCTGAAATAAAATGACCTATATACTTTAATATAACACAAGGTACCTAACTCGTATTTTTGAGAAATGACACCGGTCGCAAACTTCCATTATATTTCGATTCTGCGGTTGTCTATCTTACTGAAAACTGTTATGTTTCAATTTGACATTAAATAATCTACAAAGTGTAGTATAATATACCTATTTCTGTTGTTGGAATCATTTGTAGCAGGCCTTCCTAGTAGGTCTACTACTTATTTCGTCTTCTCAAAGCTAAATGGCAATGTTAATCTTGCAGTGAATGTTAAACAAGTGAAACTGCAAGCTACTGCTCACTAATGATACCCCCGCCCAAATATTTCGGTAAACAGGAAGTTGTTGAGTGATGAATCTGAAAACGCATCACACTGTATAGCTGACTTATATAAACCCTGAAACCAAATTTCAGAAATCCTTGTAATGTAGTTCCTGAGAAAAAAGTGACGAAAATTTTCAATTTGGCTATCATGTGTAAAATGATACAAATGTTCGGTAAACAGGAAGTTGTTGAGTGATGAATCTGAAAACGCATCACACGGTATAGCTGACTTATATAAACCCTGAAACCAAATTTCAGAAATCCTTGTATTGTAGTTTCTGAGAAAGATGCGACGAAAAATATTCATGGGACGGAAGGACAGACTGACGGATGGACAGACAGAGGTAAAACAGTATACCCCCACTTTTTTAAAGCGGGGGTATAATTATAAAAGCATTTCTCAAAAACCTGTCAGTTTTTTTCTAAATAGAACTTATCATCCAGATAGTAAATTTGTAAAAGATACTGTGATTAATATCTAATAAGTGTTATTTGATGTTTGTCTAATGAGTAAAGAGTTTCTATTTTTTAACTCAAATTTTCCCATTCCATCAATGTCATTCAGACTCTCTGACCGTTCTATATATATAAAATTGACATAACTCCAAAAACATTTATTTTTAGCAATAAGATTGACCAATTGGAAACCGATATATATATAATTAATCCTTCACTGGGAGATCAACATTGGCATTTGGCTGTGAGAAGAAGAAATAATTTACCGTTGACCTACTTGGAAGGCCTTCTTTGAATAATTTTGACAACAGAAATAGGTGTGTTATACACCATTTTGTAGATAATTTAATGTCAAATTATGACATAAGAAGTTTCAGTAAGACAGACAACAATAGAATCGAAATATAATTAATGGAAGTTCGCAAATGATTGTAATTTCTCAAAAATATGAGTAAGGTACCTATTGTCATATTAAAGTATATAAGTATCTTTTTTTCAGAGACAAGTGCCGGTGTACCTACAGCCATTTTGAAAATTTCAGATTGCTCATTTTCACATCACAGATATCAATTCTGTAAAAGTTTCATTTCTACACACAACAGGTAACATTTCTGTAAAGTTTCATTCATTTAAATTTGGTGCACTTTTTTATGTTTCACATTTTAGCTGTTTCGATGGTAATGGCAGCCATTTAGAAAAGTGAGGTGCCCAATAATGGATAGATATGGTGGATCTTGTCATGTATATACCCAATGTAAATTCATAAAGACAATATAAAGAAGTAAATACTAATATAAGCTAATTTACATTTTCAGACAGTCATCTTTCCCAAAATATTGAAGAAAATGCAAAGACAATATGGAGAAATAAATGAAATATATTATTAAAGTTCTCAATCAAAATGGACAAAAAGGCACTTTCTTACCACACCAAAGTTCAAGATTGGACTCAACTATATCGACTTACTGCTGATGGAAAGATCTATAAAGATACTAAAGAGATTACATACTTATCACCACAGAAAATACAGGAAATTGATTCATGGCGAAACAATGTTTACAAAAAATTGACGAAAAATAAATCTGCTGGCAAACAATTAAATATCCAGACATTCTCATCATCAAAACAAAAAAGCTATGGATCTTCTCAGGTGAAATGTAAAAGTGCAATTAATCTAAAACACAACAAAGACACTGATGTGTTTTCTGTGTCAAACCATTTAGCAGAAACTTCATTACATTATTCCGCTATGAGGAAAGATATTTACAATGCAAACAAAAAGCAATCAATACCACAATCAACAAAATCTATTTTAAATGGAACTGCTACTGAAGTATCTAAAAAATTTGACAAAGCTATTCAATTCAAAAACAGTGTTGATAGGAAAAGCAGTAGTCAAGGTAGCGACAATAAACTTGAGGAAGATGTCATATCTGACAGCATTTCTGACAGTATAAGTCTGGCTTCTACAAGGAAAATGACTGAATGTGGTAAAGTTATACAGGTGAAAGATAAAATGATGATCTCAGTTCGATCAGTGTCCAATAATTTGTTGAATGTTATTTCCATAGATGATTGTAAGATGGCATTAGCGAAGAATTCTTTTGTTTATACTGCAGAAAGAACTAAATCACAAACGAGTGAATATAAAGCAGAAAGTAGTGCAGCTAACTCTACTGATATGCAGAAACCAGGAAAGAGATCAATGACTGCCGAAAGTAGAAAAACGTCTTCATATTATACATCAACAATGCCATCTGGAATTTCTGGCCGAGAATCCAAACCAGATAGAAAAGCAAGAGTAACAAAAGCTATTGACACAATGGTCAACGATAGGAAAGTGATGAACACTATGGATAGAAATTTTGATGCTAGGATAGCTCCAGCTGGTAGGTTAATTCTAAACAAAAATGAAGGAGGATACATGTTTAAACGACTTCATAGTGCCCTTCGGAAACATGTAGACAATATTCTGTCTGTTCAGGCTCACCGCAGGCTTCCTAAACAATTAAGTGGAATGGAAGACCAATTTTCTTCTTATATTCAACAAATTGCCAGTTCTATACAGACAGATGATCAAATTCCTGATCCAAGTGCATTCAATAAGGATTTTCAACATTTGAGTTCAAATAAAAAAGAATTAAAAGGAAAATTGACAATATTTGAAGAGGAAGAAGACATTGTCAAAGATGAGAATGTGCCTAAAAGGCAAGTTTCTTTTAACAAACAGCTTAACGAAAAGGTAGAGCAGACAGGGAAGGACAATGATGTGGTTTGTTTTGGCCACAGCCAAGCATCTAACCAGTTATATATAGATTCAGTCAAATGTCATTTGACAGCAGAAAATGTAACTCTACAAGATAAACTGAGTGCAAACTGTGGTAGTTCTAGTAGTGAGAGTTTATCTTCATCTGTTTCAATACATAATTTATCAGAAAAATGTTGAAGATCATCAAGAGTCATTATTAATTATTAACTTAATTTGCATTAAATTACGCTACAAGATTTATTTATAGTGTTGGATTTTTTTTTCATTGCTTAAAAGAGAAGCGAAGGATACCAAGTCAAAAATAAAACTGACGCCATGGCTAAAAAAGAAAAAAGACAAACAGACAAACTACAGTATAGAAAACCAAAGACTGAGCAACACTTACCCCACCAAAAACTGGGGCTGATCTCAGGTGCTTCTGAAGGGTAAGCAGAACCTGCTTCACATGTGGCACACATTGTGTTGCTTATGCAAGTATAAACTCGGTGATATGTCTAATTAACATTTTTTCCACTCAAGAGACAGTATTTAAAAAACAAAATACCAGCTGTTGAAAAGAAGAAGACCAAGGTAATCAAATCTATTCCTGCAAATCTTTAATAAGAATATAAAATGGTATATTATTGTATGGTACCGCTGTTTGATTTCTAGAAATATGGGGAGATTTATTTCAGGTACTACTGTTCTGGTTCTAGAAAGTTGGGATGATTCAATTTGAAGTGCAATAAACTATTTTTGGAAGAAACTTGCAAACAAATGGGATATAAATTAAGCTAAAGAAGGTGTAAGTAGCAACCCTTTCATGAACTCTCTGAAGGGTCTGCATTTGACCTATTGTAAGTAATTTCTGCTACTGCCTGACATACCTTCTTTGTCAATTGTCAATCTAAATATGAGGCCCTTATCAACTTATTTTTAAAAACCCTACCTAATAAAAGAACCTTTGTGAACAGGCTTACATACCCCCATGCCCCTACATTGTCACTGGGCAAACAAAATCTCACCAGATACCTAAGTTCAAAGACTCATAACTCCTATAAAAGTCAAATGATAAAAATACTTGTGGATATGCACATCTTCATATTATGTCCTCATTAACTACAAAGTTTCATAAAATTCTGTTGTGTTGTTTCAGAGGAGTTGCGATGACAGGGCTTAAATTAACATATTGTTTGTTTGCAGCTTACCGACCGACGTTCGAAAATCCGCCAGACTGTGAAAATTTTATTGCTTTTAATTTGAAGAAATTATTTTTATTTTTCTATTGACGCCAGCCGGAACTTCTGGTCGTTTCCGGAATTGATTTAAAGTCTGGGTCGATTACACGTTTCAAGTTCGGTTTTTCTTACCTTCTTGTCAAGCGTACATGGGACCGTTTAATAATAAAGCATATGGAGATTGTTTACAGGTATCGATGAAGACATGGAGGAGTACTTTGCGCTGTCGTTTTCTGTCAATTTTAAAACAAATAACAACCAAAAAAGTTTAATAGTAAACTGTTTATACAGATTCAGACAGATATCATTGACGATTTGAGAACGCATGATGCAGCGGATATTCATAAAACAGACACGATAACCGTTTCCATCTCAAACAGATCGGGTACAGAATCTCTTGAGCCTGACTTTATGGAACCAATATCAGTGGTTAAACAATTTGACAGCAGCCTGAAGTATGCCATAGTTTCTATAAAACGTTGTGAAGACAACAAGGATGAAACCACTTCTCCATGACTTCATGGATACCTGTAAACACGCCAGGAAGGGTGCATTTGAAATTTATAATCGATAGACAATGCCAAATCTATAAGAAGCCTCAGAAACTACACAAAGATGTAAAGAAAATGAATGGTTGGCTTGTAAAAATAAATATACTTTCTCTATGTTAAATCTATCTTCTATTGCAATGAGTATGCTCCTTTAGCCAGTTTAGGATAAGGGGAGCTACCCCACTCATTGCAATTCTTCTCCCTCTTACAATATTAAATATACCCAAACAGTATGGCTTGTGTGAATTGAATTAAAACATGTCCTTAGGAGCTATGCTGCCAATTTTTTATGCAGTCAAAACATTTCAGTACAGACCATTTACTTTTAAAGGGGTGCTATTGATTTCACCCTGATCGAAGTCTAAGATTTTTTTTGGTTTTAATTAAAGCCTGATCACATCAACATATCTTTCAAAATATAACCTTATTATATATAAGATTTATGAAAACAGTCAGATGTCAAATATATTTTTTCAAGTTTCCTTTTTTTTTTAATTTAAAAAGATTCAATGGTTAATTTTTTTTATTTATAACACTCTTACATTGTCTTATGAATCTTTGATATCTACATTTTCCTAATGAAAATACTCTACTCATGAAAACTTTCTAGTAAAGAAGCATATGCCAGTGAACAATTTCTTTAAAACAATTCTAGTCATTCCTTGTTTATAAGATCTTATAAGTGTTCCAGTACTAGTATTTAATAATGTCATAAATTGGATAATCACACCATGTTATAGTTTCAATTTTGGTTGAAAAGTTTTTATCTGAAAATGCCTGTTCATTTCATGTTGGTTTTCAGTGTTTGTTGTTTTAAAAAAAATTTCTTCACAAGAAACTTGGTTTGTGTAACTGCTTGTTTAAACTTCATTTTGGCTGATAAAATAAAATATTTTTCCTACCTACTGACCCTTCAGTCTGAAGGTACAGTCCAAAAACTGCAAACAAAGATATTTTTAAGGTTGGCCCAAACTATTGCAGCAGAATATCTATGCAAAAATTCTAATTTCAAAGGGCATAACTCTCAGAAAAAAATTAAATCATAATTTCCTGTTGATATGCACATCTACTTAGTATGTCCTTATTACATGTATTATCTACAAAGTTTCAGGAAATTCTGTAGTGTAGTTTCAGAGGAGTTGCAATGACAAACTGTTCCAGCAGTATATTTAGGCTAAATTGTAAGTTCAAAGGGCATAACTCCTAGAAAAATTGAATTATAATTTCCTGTTGATATGCACATCTACATAGTATGTCCTTAAGGTTTTAAGCGAAAAATCATCAGAACCACATTGTTTAAACTAGTACACATGTGCGCAGTTGTGAGATTTAATTATGCATCCGAATTCTTCAAAAATTATCATTGATACCTTTATTTATTGTTCATTCCAAATATTTTCTTGAAGAAATACCGGAAGTACCGGTTCTACCTAAACTCAATCGTGCTTTGTAAACGTACATGGATTTTATGTATCCGTCTCTGGTCCGTGTTTTGAGGGGTGGACAGGGTAAAGGGAGACAGGGAGAGAGGGGATGGGAGAAAGGAGAGAGGGGGCAGGAGAAAAAGGGTAGAAAAGGGAGACAAAAATGTATATAAAAATAATAAAAGTGAGCAAGAAACAATTATCTTATAAAATTAGTTAATAAGAAAGTGCTAACAAATGTCATAGTAATGAAAACTACCTCGTAAATACTCCGAGCTTCATCGCTAATTCATTACGGGCCCAATTTCATAGAAATTGATCCAATATCCACCCATTTAGGTGCGATTCATATCTCTGGCCTTACATTGATACTGTGCTATGTACGCAATGTTTCGGGTTTTTTCGGAATTGTGTTTATTCCAGGGAAACCTTCACCACCCCTTTTGTTTTTGTTTTTCATTTATTTATTTTTTATTACTGTTTTAATTTTTTATTACTGTTTTAATTTTTTATTACAGTATTAATTTTTTATTTTTTTTAAATAGTTTTTTAATAATTTTTTTCTTATCAATTATAATTTTTTAATTTGTTAAATTGTTTTTCAAGCTCTTTCAGCCTGTTTCAATAAATGTTGAAATAAGTGTTGCATGGTAAGAAAGTTTTGTCATAAGAATATCAGTTTACATGTGTGGTTTACATGATGGTCATTAATTAGTTCTGCACAGTTAAATATTTAGTAGGAACTGTGAGATTTTAATTATATAAATTATTTTATAGCCCGTTTAATTAATTCACAAATGTTTCTATTTCTTTGAATCCAATTGATAGGTTTTTATGGAATTTTGCACCAATTGAAGAATCTGTTTCAATAAGATGCCAGTATTTCCTGAATACTTTTTGAAATTTTTTTGCTTGGGGATGATACTTTGTAATGAATGATACATCACATCTATTTTCAACTTTGTCCTTTTTCTTTAATGTATCTTGTCTGTCTTGGGATTTGATTTTTGATAGAATTTGTTTTACCAACTTCTGTTTATATCCTCTAATTAATAGTTTTTCAATAAAGAGTTTTCTGGTTTGAAATTCACTTTCAGTGTTTCCAAGTATACGAATAACTTTCCCTTTAAAAAGGATTTAAAATTTGAAATGGGGTGGTATGAGTTTTTATGAAGATCTTGTTATTTGATTTTCGTTTTCAATGTTTTTGTAAAATTTCACTGTCCAGTTTGTGAATTATTGAGGTTCTTGAAGCAGAAGAAACAACACTTCTATCTTGTGAAAGGACAAGGCAGGGATGAGCCATAAAAAAACTAAGACTTTTGATTGATTTTTATTATAATGAGCTTCCTATACATTAATTTTTCATGCTTGAGGGTGGGAGACAAGATAAAGGGGACAGGAGAAAGGGGGCGGAAGAAAGAAGAAAGGTACCCCCTGTCCGCACCCTCTGTTTTACAATTGTCAAGTCAACATCCAGTATAAGAAAATGTGCCTTCTAAAAAACGAAAGAAAAGATTTTGACAACGTAATTTTCCACAAATAAAGATTCTAAGGCAGATATTAGTACACTAATGTTGCACACTTTGAATGATGCACTGTCAATTTAATAGTTTACGTCAGTACATCAAATTTGTATCAAAAGACAAGTTTAATATCGTTTTATGTCAATCATTGTTTATATGATGTCCAACTGATTAATATGGTTGCCTTTTGTTACTTAGTTTTAAAGGATTAAAATCTGGATAAGACAAAAAATTCCCAGCTGGCATAAATATTTTTTGGAAGCCCTCTGGGTCAATATGATATCTATTTGTCTCAACAATTTTTGTAAATCATCCTTTATTAAATTATCAAATAATAATTAGCAATATTTTGTTTTAAACAAAATACTTGCTATCATTTTTGGCACTAACTTTGAGTAAAAGTACCTATGAAACCATAGCTTTTTGAAATCAGTGTGAGGAAACCTATTTTATTGAACAGGAAGTGACATTTTGTAAACAGGAAGAGAGCAAAATTATCTCCTGTATTTCAATCTAACTACC